CGGGTCCACCGTCGTGGGGGGGGGGGGGGTGGCTTAGCTGTGGAGGGGAAGGAGTTTGGCCAGAAATGGCTCTCCGTGTTCTTGTACCATTCCCCTCAGTCAGAACCGTCTCTTTCTACTGCTAAAACGAACCTTTCATTTGGCATCACACCACATGGACTCAAAAATGAGGGGGTTGTGTTTTCTGCCCTTTTCCTCCCCCATTCCCGTACCTCTCACCCCCAAAAAGGGGAGGGAATGAGGGGAAGGGAATAAAACCAGTGTGGCCCATTTGGGGTCCATGGCGAGGGGGTGTTATCTGCTGGGGTGGGTAAAAGTTAAATAAGGGGTCTGGGTAACCACTACCATGGTGATGGGGGTCCTTATTGATTTATAGCCACGTTTTAATGCCCCTTTTCCCTTCTTTCCTGCTCGCTTGGGATCGATCCGAACGTAGCTGCACCACGGAAGTAACTTCTAACGAAGGCTCTCTAGAACTGTATGGTCTCTTCCTCCCCTCTGTCCGTCCCAGCCACCCTGCAACAGTCGGCGCATGGCTCCTTCCCCCTTTGTGGTACTGTAAAACCGCCTGTCTCCGCTAGAAAGCTGTAACCCGTGCCCCGGGCGGGTAGGACTCGATTGGCCACGTGGCTGGCATTAGAGCGGTGTTCACCTTACTAACTCAGGGCTGGGGGTGAGGATGGAGAAGTGTAGTTACACCCTGACCCAGATAAAAGGTGTGCTAGTGGGCAGGTTGTTGCTCACCCGGAGCAGGGTTTGGGGGTCTGAGGCAGGACGAGGACTGGCAATAAAAACCCTTCTTCCCCCTCCGCCTGTTCCCCCCACCTGTTCTTTTCTACCGCTATCCACTTCTCCAAAGCCCCAGGCACCCTCGGCTGAGCCCATGGGTCCTGTTTGGGGTCAGTCGCAGTCCCCCAAAGTGGGGTGTAAAGTTCTAGCAATAGCTCCCCCCCCCCTGGATTCTGTCCCTGCTCCCCTTGGCCAGGCGCAGACCAGAGTCCTTCCTCGTGCCCTGCACCAAAGTGAGCCACACTCAGCCTCAACCCACCCCAGCCTGCCCTTGGGGAGCCGCTGCTGGACCATGGGGTTGTTTCCATGACAACCCCGGGCCTGGAGGAACTTAGCACAGCCTGGAGGCTGCTCTAGCATATCCCAGCTCATGGCCGCCCAGGGGTCTGTCTGCCCGCTGGAATGGGGCAGCCCAGGACCCTGATAGGCCCAGTGCCAGCCACCCATTTCTCCATGCTGTAGGAATTCCCAGCTAGGGAAACCAAACTGCTATCCGGGCCCTCTGTGCTGGGCCTGGATTGCAAGTCATGGCCAGGTCTGTGCTGTCGCTACAGACTTCTATTGCAAACGAACACCTCCAGGATGGGGCTGCCCCCTCCCCGCTTCAGCACCCCCCTCGGTCCCCCGGCCTCGCTGCATTACAAAGCTGCCCTGACAACGTGGCGAAAGAGCCAGCGGGTGCTTTCTTCGGCCGATTCCTACCCACAAGGAGACAAAAGGCCCATCCGGTTCCGAGAACTGTAAAAACTCTGCACTTTATTTGCTAAAAACAGCAACACGACAGTTAAGTTATCACAAAAAGGCCAGTATAAAATCTAGGTTGATGTATACAGCACTTGGCTCTCTGTCCCCTTCAGTATCCAGAATCGGTGACAGACCTCTGAGTGGGACTGCAACTTAACGACTTTGGCTCGTTGTTACAAAAAACAAAACACCCCACAATGAACACAAGAGAAAAATAAATCCCCCCCTAAATTTTTAAATAGTAAAACATCAGAAATCCTCTATTCTATGGGCACACGGTTTAATTATTCATTGAATATGCCTGGGAGGGCAGGGGACAGGACTCGATGACCTCTCAAGGCCCCTTCCAGTTCTAGTGTGCTAGGATCCCAGTATGGAGCTGGGCTCTCCTATCAGGAGCCGCACGGTCTGCACCCGTGGCCAGCCCGCCCGTTCCAGATCTGGCAGCAAACGAATGAACAAAGTCAGTGCTCCCAAACCTCACGAGATTCAGTTTTTGTTCTCAATGAGCCAGTTCCCGGAGTCATGTGATGATCCGCAAATCTCGATTTTCATTTAACAGTAAATAAGTTTCTAGTCCCGATGGACGGCTGGGAGCTGTGAACCGTAGCGGCTCAGCCACCAGGAGGCAAATAGAAAGAACTCAGTGCTCATGGCTTGGCAGCTGAGCCTGTGACCTGGGGGATCCCCACTCGTGAGTGTGGAGCGGTTGAGGCGGGTGGTGTGCCACGGCGGGACGGCAGTTATAACTTAGACTCGGGGGGAAATTCCCCCCCCCCCGTGCAGATCCCCAGCACAAGGCCCGGGGGCCCCGCCTCAGCTCTAGTCTGACGGCTTGAGGAGCAGGCAGGCCTGGCGCGGTGGCACTTTGCCTGGAGTTCGGGAGCCAGGGGAGGCAGACAGGTGAAGCTGTGCCTGGCGCGGGAAGAACAGCCTGCCCGCAAGCACCAGCTTGCACATTTCAGCTCCGGCGCCAGCGCCAAGGCAGCTGGAGCTGCGAGGAGCGGGTGAGCAAGTGCGGGCGGCCTTTACACCCAAGAGGAACCCCAGCGGGAGCAGGGATAACTCGCCTTGCCACATTCTGCCCACGTTAAACGGCCCGGCAGCCCGGCCTTGCTCAGCGTCGAGAGGCACCCGCAACACAGACGCGCACGTCTCTCCGCACCGAGCTCTGAGGGACTGGAGCCAGGCCCCGACAGCAGCAGGTATTCGCTTTCCCTGGGCCGCCAAGCCGGGGAGCAGCAGCCCCTCTGCCCTGTTGCCGACCATCAGCCCATGCGGTGCCCAGTGTGGGCGGGGAAGCGCGTGGGCTTGTGGCCTGTTGGCGCGTGCCCAGCACGGAGCCCCATGGCTCCAGCCCATACAGGTGCGCACCACAGCACACCCTCATCCCCCACAGCAGCATCTGCAGCCCAGGGCGCTGCGCATTCCTCCCCGGCCCTCCGCGCTGAGGGTGTATTTTCTGGCCCTCCTACCCTGGCGGCCTGGGCTTTCCTCTCCATGACTTGCCCCGCCCTGTGCAGACACGCTAACAATAAATACTACAGCTTTCCCTGGGGTTATTGCTATTTTCCAACGTTAAACAAAAAAAAAAATCACATTTGTATTCAGTATAAGGCAGCCCATGGCAGGCGTCTCATTCTAGCTTGTGCACGATGCCGTCCACAGTGGGGATCTCCTGGTCTTGCTCCTTGTGGGGATCTGTCATGTGGCTGTACCTCTCCCCTCGGTGGCACTCCAGGTAGGGACCCCAGTTAGCAGCTGGGCGGCAGCAGCTCATGATACGCTGAGAAGCAAAACAGCACAGTCTCAGGCACCGATAGGCCTTGGGAGGTTTGTGTTCTCTTCACCACCTTTCCTTTGGTATTTTTCACTTGACTAGTGGGGGGCAATCTAAGCACCAACCTCCCCAGCCACCACTTTCCCGTGGATTGTCATCGGAAAAGGCTAAAAGGCAAGACCACGTGTGTGACGTAGTGGGGGTAATTGCTGGGCTGTGGTGACCCCTGCTGTCTGGAGCAAGACCCAGCAGGGAAAACCTCGCTAGGCAGAGGTAAGGCCAAACTTGTTGAACCAGCGGCCAGACACCCCCCAAGGAGAGGAACAAAGGAAGGTGGAATGCTGCCCTGACTGGGGGGGCAGGGCTGCAAGGGAATTTAGTTAGTTACTGTGGGAGAGCATGGAGGAGAGCCTAGGAGAAGGGGCTGGAGTTTAGGGGCCCAGTCTCCCCCATCTCAAGGGGGCCTGAGGCATCCTAGCCCAGCTCTGTGGCCAGACTACATCTGTGCTGTGCTGTATCCTGGAGAGGCAATAAACTTCCTCTATTCCGCCGGCTGGTGGAGTCTGTTTGTGCCATTTCGGGGTGCAGGAGACGGGGAACCCCCAACGCGCCGTCACAACGTGATCACAGGAGCGGAGAGTGGAATAGGCCAGGACAGGCTAAGCTGCCCCGGCGCAGCTACTGCACATTGGACCTCCCTGGTCCGGCACCCTCAGGACCTGACTAGTCCTGGAGGAGGGATTTTGCTGGACCAGGGGAGGTCATTTCTGACCTCCATGCTGCTGGCCCCACCCCACCGGGCCTCCTGGCTCCCCTGGCAGCCCAGCTAGGTCACATGTCCCAGACTTCCCTCCCCCCCTTCACAGCTCAGCTGAACTGTGTGCTGACTCCTAGTCCCCCAGGCAGCTCAGCTGGGCCATGTCCTGGGCTCCTGCATCCCCCTGCCTCAGGCCAGGCTCCTGACCCCCATCACCCTGCAGTGCACCGGGACTCTCTGGTCTGAGAACATCCGTGGTCCAGTGTTGTGGGACCAGAAAGTCCCGGTTTATAGAGGTGCAGCCTGTACTGACCCAGCCACTGGGTGCCTGGTCCTGCTGGAAATGGGCTTCTGTGGGCTGGGGCTGTCGTGTTGTGGCCCCAACCCCAGCCCTGCCGGTGGCCACGGAGCCAGGCTGCGCCGCTGCAGCCCCAGCCTTCCCGGGCGGCTGGAGCACGTAGGCAGTTTTGGGAAGGCTGTGCAGTACTGGACACCCATGTCTCTCTCGGTGCCTCTCCCAGCCCAGACAAGCTCCGGGTGTCCTGAAAGCTGGTCTCTCACCCCATCGGGCCGCCCCCTGTGTCTTTCTAATGCAGACTATGGCAACTCTTCCTCAGCCAGCACGACCACGTGATGTCAGATTGGAAATGGCAGAGCTCAGCACTGGGATAACAACTGACGCGGGAAACGAGATCCTGGAGATCAGGGCATCTGGCGTGTGCTTTACCACGGAGAACCGCTGGCCTTTGCCAAATGACTAACTCTCTGGGGATTGCTGATTGACTTCAGAGTGCCCCTTCCAATCCAAACCTCTCCAACAAAAGAAGTCAGGCTCTGATCCGGCCCCCTGAGCATTCAACAGAGGAGTTGGCCCTCCGGCCGCTGTTCGCTTAGGCCCTTACCTGCCACAGGTTCCCTTGAGCTTTGGCTATTTTAATGATTGCAACAATGGGAATCCAGATGATGCAGAAGACAATCAGGCACCAGCCCACGGCAGATCCCCACGTGGGGTATTCGACGGAGCCGTACTTGGGAGTGGAAAATGTCACCAGCGACCAGAACAAAATCACCTGTGCAAAAACAAAGAGAGGGAGACCAGGCAGGTGAGGCTGAGTCTGCTTTGCACCGATTGCAGAGCGCACCGTGAACCACTTCATCGCCATGGGAGCCTCGGCAGCGTCGAAACGGATCTAAGCGGCTCCAGGTCTAAGCCTGCCTGCTGCTCAGGGGGTTGTTACCAAACGCCATCAGGCAATAAGACGGGTCATGCATCGCCCTCTGCTGAGCTGGAAGCATCCACTGACATGCGCGCAAGCACTTCCTGCATTGTTTAAAAATATTTCAACACCCATGTTGCTAGGAAATCAGCCTCGCTCGGCAGGCGTGTTTCTCCCACGTTCGGGTGGCATGCACAGGCATGCTCCGAGGATCTGGAAACATGGTTCACTGTACCTCTGTGCCCCAGCTGCACGGTTACGGGATATGGGGAAAGCAGGCCGAGGTAAGTTCTGGAGAACGTTCCTGCTCAGGTAAGATATTTGCAAGAAGCCTTCCCTCACGGGGATCCGCAAGAGAATAGAGGTACGTCGCGGCGAGAACGGGATGTGCGAGTTATGTAGGAGCAGCGGTTGGCTTGTTTCCCATCGTGCACGTGGTACAGTTATGAGGCACAGGGAAGCACCAGGTGGCGATGATCTGAGAGAACCCGAGGAGCGAGGGGTGTGGTGGTTGAACTGGTGTATCCCGGGTGTAACCCGTGTAGGGGAGTGAGTAGCTCAAATCCAGTTGGTCAGGACCGTGGAGGAAAGAGGGGGGTGGCTGCCGAGAGGAGATGTGTCAGAGGGATGAACGTGGGTTTCCACGTCAGGCCTGGGGCACCTGGAGCTTGGGGTGAGGAAGCGGAGGTGGCTGGTGGATTCGGAAATGGAGGATGCTGGGAAAAGCCGGTGCTGTTCTACTGGGCGCATGGAACCGCCAGCCCATAGGAAATCCCTCTCCCCTAAAATGGGGTAAGCCGGGTGACCAACATGGGGAAGGGGCTGGGCATGAGCCCTGAAACATCTGCCCTATGCACCAGTGGGGGATCTGGGGCCAGAACCTGCCCCATGCCAGTCAGCTTTTGGGGGTAGGGAGCCCAGGTCAGATGGCGCCCAGATCCTCCCCGTATTCAGATCCACACAGATCCTGAAACCCTTCCCCTCCTGCTCAGGCTGCCCACTAGCCCTGGTGTGGCAGCAAACTCCACCCTGCACTGCAGGCCAGGAACGGCCCTATGGAGGCCCCGGTAGCGCTCACTTTCAACCAGTACTGAGTTGCTGTTGGTCTGATGGTCAGGAATGGCCCTTCGGCGCGCACGTGGAGAACCTCAGCAGGGCTGTTATGCCGGCTTTAAAGAGGGCTCCCAGGGCCAAAGAGGCAGCCCCAAAGCTTTACTGGGAAACTGTTCAACATGGAACCAATATGTCCCTGGCCAGACGTGCGCAGGGATCTGCCCACGGTACTTACACATAAGAGCACCGGGGTAATGAAGAACCAGCATGCTCGCCACCACAGCCAGAACCACCAGCTCTTCTTCCCAATCATCATCTCGATGTCTTCGATAAATCTGTTCCCTCCTGTGGAGAGATGGCCAAAGAGTGCACTGTCAGACCGGGTCTGGAGCGTGGGCTCAGGGGGTAGAGAGCACACGTCTGGGGAGCTCCAGGCAGCACGGATACAAGGCTCCTTACAACTGCACGTTCCTGGAGGATAGACTCACAGAACACTGGGACTGGATGGGACCTTGAGACATCAAGTCCAGTCCCTGCCCTCACAGCAGGACCCAGCACCATCTAGACCATCCCTGACAGGTGTGTGTGCAACCTGCTCTTAAATCTCTCCAGAGATAGGGATTCCACAACCTCCCTGGGCAATTTATTCCAGTGTTTCACCACCCTGACAGGTAGGAACTTTTTCCTAATGTCCAACCTAAACCTCCCTTGCTGCAGTTTAAGCCCATTGCTTCTTGTCCTGTCCTCAGAAGATAAGGAGAATAGTATTTCCCCTTCTCTTTGTGACAGCCTTTTAGGTACTTGAAAACTGCTACCATGTCCCCTCTCAGTCTTCTCCTTTCCAAACTAAACAAGCCCAATTCTTTCAGTCTTCCCTCATCGCTCATGTTCTCTCGACCTTTCAGCATTCTTGCTCTTCTCGGCCGTTATTCCGAAATAACTGTGCTGTGTAGACACACGCTGCGGGTCCCAATCCACGGACAGCCAGAAGCTGGGAATGGGCGACAGAAGAGGGATCACTTATTGATTCCCTGTTCTGTTCCCTCCCTGTGGGGCACCTGGCATTGGCCAATGTGGGAGACAGGACGCCGGGCTGGATGGACCTTTGGTCCGACCTAGTCTGGCCGCTCTGATGTTCTAATGATTTGGGACACGATCTTTTTAGCCGTTGAGATATTATGCACGTTCATCTGTAGAATGTTTCGGTTCCAGGTCTGTGGGAGAACTGGGATGATTCACGTTGCCACAGCTGGATTTTCCAGTGACAGTAATTTACCATAAATCCAGCTAATGCCTACGATTTCCAGCACCGCTGCAAACAGGATCCCCCATCCAGCACAGAAATGGTCCAGTAGGTTAACCCAGTAGATTCCTGCCTGCAAAGCAAACAACAGAGAGGTAGCTTTTTACCCAGGCCTCGTCACCTTTTGCACGGCTGCATGGAGAGCTTATGTCCATTGAATTAAACCTCAGCCTGGGTTTTTATTTAAAAGCCCTGCTTGTAGAGGTGCATCTCTCACTTTATTTCATTTCCTATTTGCATTGAAAATGGACAAGTGCATTGCACGGCATACTCCTGCTCACTACTGTAATAGCAAAGCCCATAGAACACCACACAGGAGGGGGGACAGCAGGGTTTGAACCTCGGGTGCTAGAACAGCATCTTTTGTGGCTCGCGCTAGAGAGAGTTAAAGGAGTAGCTAGCAACACGTGTGGAAGTTGTGAGTCTATAAAGTGCTCCCAGACCCGGTTTTGTTTTTTAATTTTTTCCTCTGTTAGGCACTAGCCACTAGAGGGGGGCAAAGACCCAGAAGCTCCTCGTGCCTTACACAAACACACACTCCTATAAAACAGCACAAGGGGAAATAAGTGGAGAACTCCTCGTGTGACTTTCACGCACAAATAAACACGCCTATAAGCCCGTATGACAGGAACGAAATGGAGGGGGAATTACTGAATATTCTATGGGTTTAATTTACTTCCAAGTTCTCTTTTTCTCGTATCATAGGTCAGCTGCAGAGCGACAGACAGGTGGCCACCGGTTCCTGAGGGCATACTGCTTTGGGGGTGGGGTAGTTACAAATGTCAGTCGCTCTTTTTCGATATGGCCCTTAAAATTCAATCTTGACATCTTAAAAAGCAAGGGTCCCAAGAAAGTGCATTCAGTGAACTAAAAAATAATCATAATACTAATAATCGCTGTACGTTAGAGGCTAACCTGATTAGCCCTAAAAGCTTTGGACTGACTGATTTTTTGAGAGCTGACTATCCCACTTCTACACAGCTGCCGTCGTAGGCAGTCAGTTCTGAATGAGACGACTGTCAATATCCACTCGCAATCCCCACCTACCCTGCCGCAGACACGGTGGATAAATGTTCTAGATCACACCAACTAATCTCCTGAACTGAAGAAACAAATTGAACGAAGGGCTCCTGGTCGTTAAAAGAACAGCTCACTAACGATCAGATACCGAAAGGCTCCTGTTTTAAAAAGTCATCGCGGAGGGCCGGATTCAGCAAATGCTGCCATTCGGGCTTGTTGGGCACATAGAGCGAGCCTGTGCTAAGGTGTCTGCAGAACATGGAGGTGACTTCTCTCCGAATGTTTTAACACGGGACTGCGATTCCTTGTCACATGGAGAAATGTTATATTGTCTCGTGCAAATCCTCTCCCCCTCTCCCCGCTGAACCATCCTTAAACCCATAACAATGTTGTACCTGAGTGACGCAGATGAGGCCAAGAAAAAACAGCAGCATGCATAACCCCAGGGTTACGGGAACCCTCAACTTTTTCATCATCGAGGGGAATATATCTTGTATGGTGGTTGTCACTGTTTCTGCAGGGGAAGAAAGAATTGTATTTGTTGGAACACAGGCAGTAAAATGAAGAAATGCAGCTAACACTAACCGGAAACATTTTTTTGTTATTTTAAGCGTAACGGTGAGAATAATGAGAATAACTGATTTTTTTTATTATTATTTTGTCACTAGCTGTTCTGAAAATAAATAAATAAATGTCGTCAGCTTGAATTGACGACGTGAAATGAAGATTTTTCAAATGTTTCCGCAAACTGAAGAGTTGAAATGAAATCATTCTGCACCGAATAAAACATAGGGTTCCAACTGAAATTTTCAATGCATTTTAAAAATGTCTCCCACGTACATGTGAAGGGAATTTCTACACAAAACGCCACTGGAAATTGAAAAAGTAAAAGGTTTGGTTTGGAAAACGTCAGAATGAAATGGTGGGTTTTCTGGAAGGGCCTGGAAATGGACATGAAGTTTTGAAATGTTTTGGTTAATCCAAATCTGAGTGTTTTGAAGAAAGAAAAAATCAGCTGACAAATGTGACCCTGTTCTAACGTCACGTCCTACTCACCTATGGAAGCGAACTGAGAGTCAAGCCCCAAGAGTAGAAGCATGAAGAAAAATAAAAATGACCAAAGAGGGGCGACGGGTAACTTGGAGAGAGCCGACGGATAGGCGACAAATACCAAATCAAAGCCTGAAAGAGAGGAGGAAGAGATTCGTTAGCATCACAACCCAGTCAATGAAAAATTGATTCATTTCTCTTCAGCTTAAATAACAGGAAATGACATCAGAACTTGGAGCTCAAAGCGAGCGGCTGGTCTGGCAATTGCAAAACTAAAATCCCCACTGACGTCAATGGAAGTTTTGCCATTCGCTACAATAGACCCAGGGTTTCATCAAGATATTTTATTTTTCAATAAAATTCCTGGATGTACTATTTAAAAGGAACTCCATCAGAAACTGGATAGCATCGCTGTAAGAGATGCCAGATTGAACCAACAGCCAAACTCCCACTGGGTTCAGCCCCCCAAATCCATCATTTATATCTATGGCACAGATCTAGAGTCTTGCTCTGTAATGTGGCAAGTTACTAGTCATCTCTGCGGAAAAACCCAAACCACATTTCATTACAGGTCGAACCTCTCTAGTCTGGCACCCTCGGACCCTGACTAGGACTGTACCAGAGAATTTGCCAGACGACAGGAGTCAATATTGTCTAGCAGCGTTACCAACACTACTTGCTGGGCTCTGAGAAGGGGTTGATTAGAGTTAACTAGCAGCACAGAACACCGAGAGCCTGTAACACTGCTCGCTGGGCTCTGAGGGTATGTCGAATTAGTTAATTCGAACTCTGTAAGCAAACTTTATGGGCCTGTGAGGAACTTAGCCAGCTGTCCACTTTTCGCAGGTGTAGCCAACTCCAGTCATTCTGGATGACGGATGTTTCCAGACCAGAGAGTTCTGGACTAGAGAGGTTCAGCCTGCACTTCTGTTCAGAAGTGATTCGGCTGACTGCTCAGGCAGATCCCAAATGACAAGGGATTCAAACAGCAATTCATAGACAGAGGAGAGGTGACATCCCCCTGGTGAGACGGTCCGGCTTCCCAAAGGCCTGTGCGCTACTTTAGAACCACAAAAGCCCTGTTTGGAGCATTTCAATGGGACTTAAGCCATGCACAGGTCTTATGTATGGAGTACACATCACCTACAATTTGGGGAATGTACTAACCTGTTTAAGGCAATACGACAAATAGAATTATTATCAAGCCTGTATTTTTATGATTAAAAATGTCCCCGTCTATTATCTTATGTATTAATCTGTCATTGCTCCTGCCTGGCAGCTGAGCAGGCCTGGCCTTTGGGCAAGGCGAGTGAGGCAGTCATCTTGGGCCCCGCAGCTCCATGCATTATGGGCCCCACACTGCCCAGCTCCTGGCCCTGCCCACCAGGCCGGGAGCCGTGCGGCTCAGCATGCTGCCTTGAGGCCCACACACTCCTTGGCCAAGCCTGCAGCTGAGACACATTTGATACATAGGGTGGGATTTTCAATAGCACCTTAGTGACTTGGGAGAAGTCCCATTGACTTACGGCGTTGGAAACCTGGATTGATGGTGGCACCTGTTCTAGATGGGGTTCTCTCCCTGTGAAAGAACAGGTACGCAGCTTGGGAGTCCTCCTGGACCCTCCTTTAAAACCAGATTTGGAAACCAGATTTCTTCGGTGGCCAGGAGTGCTTTAGGGCAGCTTCGTCTGATCCGCCAGCTGCGACCCTTCCTGAGCAAGCATGACTTGGCCACAGTGCTCCAGGCTCTTGTTACATCCTGACTGGATTACTGTCATGCACTTTATGTGGGGCTGCTTCTAAAGAGCCTTTGGAAACTTCAACTGGTTCAGAATGCGGCTGCTCAAGTCTTAACGAATACCCGTTATACGGAGCACATGATGCCAGGGCTTCAGCAGCTGCACTGGCTCCCGGTATGTTTCCGGGCAAAATTTAAGGGTTTGGTAATGGCCTATAAAGCCCTAAATGGGTTGGGTCCAGGGTATCTGAAGGACCATCTTCTCCCGTATGAACCTGCCGGGGATTGAGGTCGGCTAGGGAGGCTCTGCGCAGGGTTACCCCACTTATTGAGGTGAGATTAACATCTACGCAGAACAGGGCCTTCTCGGCTTTTACTCCCAACCTCCTCTTCCTCGGGATATTTTCCTGGCGCCAACGCTATCATTGTTTCAGCATCAGGCTAAAACCACTCTTTTTACTAGTGCTTTTATTAGTGTATGAGTATGTTCCTCTTCTTGATATACCCTTTTAACTAGTGCTTTTATTAGTGTATGAGTATGTTCCTCTTCTTTATATGTTTTAGCAGGTTTTATGTCCCTTTGGGGTCTCGTAGTTTAAATTTTTATATAAATTTGTATTGTGTTTAAAAATGTTGTAAGCCACCCCGAATATTTTAAATAGAGAGGCAGTGTAAAATATTTAAATAAATAACTAAATAACTAAATAAAATAAACCCAGGACAAAACGGCCTCCTCATTCCGAGCGTCACTGCGGTGGTAGCGCATGGCCCCAGTGGACTACAGTCAGAGCAGCTGAGCCGAAACCGGGTTAGAAAACGGAGAGGAAAGCTTTGGAATAAACAGCGAGATTCTTGCACTGACCTGAGTCCACCACTTCCGAGACGGGTTTGTCTGCCAGGAAAGCCATGTGTCCCAAAACGGAGAATATCGCAAAGCCGGCAAACACGCTGGTGAGACAGTTTACTAAACAAACGGTAATGGCATCGGAATAGCAGTTGTTATGGAACTTATTGTAAGAGGAGAGCGCGACCAGCCCTCCCCAGGCCACCGACAGGGAGAAGAAGATCTGGGTAGCTGCGTCTTTCCAAACCTAAAAGGAAAATAATTGGAGGTAAGTTCTGGTATGCGTCCCAAGCTACGTGTTCCGACCCGGTCGGTGCACTCTGGCAGGGCTGCTGCCTTTCTTTAAGACGATAATTGCATGTGAATTTCAGTGAGAAGTGTCAATATCAATGAACCTGAGGAGTGAAGTTTCCTAACCAAAGGGCAGGAAGGCTGGTCTTGTGCTTATGGCATGGGACCACAATCCTGGAGATCTTTGGCCTTTGGCCACTGATCTCCTGTGAGGCCTTGGGCAAATGTCCACATGCACTCTGTGCCTCAGTTTCCTAAAATGTAAGACTAATGGGGATAGTATTTTCTTGCTGCACTGGGATGAGGAGACGTTATTCACTGATGTGCCTGGAAAGTGCTGGAGCTGCAGCGGCCATGGAGAGGTGCTTCTCACCTGACTCCGAGCTGCTGTGGTCAGAGAGGGCTGGGGCTGTTCTTTCTCCCCAGGACAGCCTGCAGACTGCACACCTCACCCCCAGCCCCATCCCAGAGCAACGACTGAAATGACACATCCACATTTTCATTTTATTTTCTAAAAAATCAAATTAATTGAGTTAATGACCCGAGCTAACTTCCAGGGGAAGGCCTAGGTTCAAGGTGGCCTGTCTCAGACTGGAAGCTGGGTACAGGGAGATTCAAATACCGCTCAGCTGATTAGCAGAGTGCCCACAGCTAGGTTTGTGTTGCTACGGGTGGTGCACATGCAGTGGTGCATGTAAACAATTATTCCACACATGGATGGAAAAAGCCCATGCATGGAGGGATAAGATTAGAGGGAACAGTGTTAAGGACCCAAGCAATGCTGGGTGAGCCTTTTAGTACATAAATAAAACAGACTGCACTGGCAATCTTTGGATGCTCCCACCCATTCTGTGCCATCGATTCACCTCAGACTGGGACTACTTCTGTGTCTGGGAAGGCAGCCCCGGGTTATGCCAATGTTTCAGGTCCTGTGCAGCAGACGCCCACCCACTGAGAGCCCAGGAGCTCAAACGATGCAGCAATAAAATGGCAGCCACCATCACCGGGACAGAGCTGAGGTGGGAACGGACAGCCCGTGTGGAAGGCCCAGGAGCTGTCCCCATCCCCCGGCCAGCCTTGAGAGCAGCGCACTGGGAAGAACCACCTGAGCGTTGGCCTCAAAAGGGGAACTGAGGCTGGAGGAAACCCCAGAGAAGTGCCATTCCGGGAGCAAGTTTCCTCCCATGCTCTCCACCCCTCACTCTGCCCTGAGCTAACGTCCAGGGCAAGGCCTAGGCTGGTCTCAAACTGAAGCTCACTCGAGAAGCCGGCTGATAAAACGCCCTGGAATTCATGCCGGCCCAAGCAGGCAGCCCTCAGAGTCACTCTCCCGGGGCGCAGCGCACCCCCGGGCCACCCGGCACGGTCCTGGCTCGCCAGCAGAGTTACACACGCCTGAGGAACGGAGGGTGGTAACACGGAAACCGGGGCTGGCGCTGTGTCGCCAGGCAGCCCTCCCCGGCCCCTTTCGTTCCAGTGCTGCAGGAGAGGGCCCCTTCCGGCTCCCTGGGCTCAGGAGGGGGACAGACGGTTGCCCTGTAATTGTGGGTTTCTGGCAGGCGTCACCGCGGGCAGCAGGTATCATAGGCCAGGGAAGGCATTGCCTCCCCAAACTGCCACGGCCAGGCCCGCCCATGCTCCACCACAGCCCCTCTCCCCCCTTGCAGGGCCAGAGGCTGGGGCGTCCCGTGCAGCCTGTCCTCTTGGCTCGGGGGCCGGTGGCTCAGCTGCGGAGGGGGATCCCTGGTCCGGCCGGCAGACATAGGCCAGGGAAGCTGGGTCTGCACCTCCCGGCTCTGCTCTCCGATGCTCCAGGACTGGTGCAGGCCACAGCTGGGCCACCCCCGGCTTGCTGCACTGCCCACCAACTCTCCAGAGCTCTAGGGCCAGGGCAGGCTGGGGGTGCCCTATCCCAGGCTGGGGGCACTACCCTGGGGCAAGGGAGGCTCTGGGCAGGGTCCAGCAGTGGCCCCAGTGTCTGTGGGGGGCAAGAAGGGAAGGGGCCTTGGTGGAAAGAAGCAGGGCTGGAGAAGCTCCCCCCCCCCAACCACCAG